TATATATATATATATATATATATAGAGGTGGAGGTTCAAACGAGAACTCCTATGATTTATGAGAACGCGAAAACAACCCAATAACCTCAAACTTTTTTGATTAATAAATTAACTCATATTAATAAGGGCAGTAATGTAATTAAGTAATTTTTATAATTTTTATTTTAATTAATTGTGATTATCCATTTTTTCCTGGATTGATCACGTTCGTTTCCATTCTCTTCTCTTTCCTTGTGATAATTGTGTGATTGTGTAAGCATAACCTATCGAAACCATGATCAATCGAGTGTAACCATAACCTATCGAAACCATAAGTAATCGTTGTGATAAATGTGTGATTGTTTAATCCTAACCGGTCGAAACCATGATCAAATTGAGTGCGCAAGTGATGTTATAATAGTGATATCACATGATTATTACACCCATATCATACCAAATTGTTTAGTGGATTTTGTCCGTAATCGTTGTGATAAATGTGTGATTGTCTAATCCTAACCTATCAAAACTATGAGTAATCATTATGATAAATGTGTGATTGTCTAACCCTAACCGATCGAAACCATGATGAAGTCGAGTGCGCTGTTATGATAGTGATATCACATGAATATCACACAAAATCGTTTAGTCGATTTCGTACGTAATCGTTGTGATAAATGTGTGATTGTCTAATCCTAATCAAATGAAAGCATGTTCAAATCGTAGTAATTGTGACAGATACCTTGAATAAACTATGTTCTACAGCTTCTTGTTGTTCGATTCCTGCATGCAAACCTTACAGCTTCTTCTTGCTGATCGATTCATGTTTGTTGTTTGATTTCCAGACTTTACAGCTTCTTGAACTTTGATTTCTCTTTGAAATCCTTTTGTTACCTTCTTAATTGATACCTTCTGATAAACGATAACTTTTGAATTAAGTGGATAACTCCAATTTTCAGGATTATATGATTTTGATTTCCATTATTACCCTTTCGAATCTCAATTTTTTTTGAATCGTTTTAAATTTAAATTTCAATTTTAAAAACCTTTTAGTTTTAATTGTTATTACAATATGTGATTAATAAAATGTTCATGCGTTCTCATAAATCACAAGGGTTCTTGTTTAAACGTTTCCATTTATGTATTAAGTTTTTAACAGAAAAAAGACAAAGACAAATCATAGAAAACTAAAATGGGTTGTTAGCATGAGAGGCCCAATACAATAGAAAATGTTACCATGGAGCCCACAAAAATACAAACCACACACAAGTCCTAAATCCATAACTCATAATAAAATTAATATAATCACATGGACAAAATGTTGTTATCGAGCCATAAGTGTCCAATGATTTGAAAATTGACTACATTTCCATTATTTGTTATTTGTCAAAATCCAATTAATGCACATAAAACGTTCATTTTAATGGCGGGCCTCACACATATATTCTAAATATCATTTACCAAAACGACATTTCCATCAAAAGTTCAAAATTCATCCTTTTAGGCAATCTACTCTACACCCCATGTTTAAGAGTATACGTATGGTGCAAACACAAGGGTGTGTTTAAGGGCCGTAAGGATGTCTGGTGTGTGTGTGCTTGAAAAACATGCATCCGTTGGTTTTTGAGTCTTGCTAAAAAAGGACCCGTACACAAAAAATAATCAAAATGTAAAACACAATATATAACCAGTTGTAAATTTACAGAATAAACGAAATTAAACAAATTCATATACAAGTTATACAGATTATTGCAATTTTAACCTGTTTATACACCGGGTATTAAACTAGTAAATGGTAGTGATGTAGTAGCAAGGGTAATTTAGGGAAAACACATGGCATGAGATGGTATGGAAGTGATCAAAATAATGTTTGATTGTGTAGTACAATTTGTTGACTATTTTTATTGGTCATATTATATGTTGATGAGGTAAGCTTGCTAAATATCAAGACTTTATCTTCCTAATTTATGCTTTACTAATATATCATCTACCACAATGACAAATTTACCCTTTCTTTATTCTTATCCGTACATATGACATATTTGTGCTATTTTTTCTATATAATATCAACTTGTCGATTTTTTATACTTATAGACTGGATGAAAGTACGGATGGATATGTTATATATAAATTCAATTAAATGTATTGTTTTAATATTAACTCCAATCAATTGATTGTCAAGGTATGAATATCTTGTAAAGGCTTATATTTTGAATTTAAAAAACAAATAAATATAAAAAAAATTAAAATTTTACGTCATCAAACTAGTTTTTATAGTATAATAACGAAGAGTTATTTAATTGGATGATATGTTGACATGATAAATATTTATTTGGTCGGCAAATCTGATCTTCCAATCCGTTTTCACACTTGTATTTTTGTACGGAACAATTAAAATAGTAAATTTCTTAATTTTATCTAGAAAAATGGACAAAATGCATAACAAACATGTTTATTTAATTTATATGTTTGATAAACCGATTGTTAAAAAATTTA